AAAATCCCTTTCTTGTACCCAGCTCATGACTGTTGACTTCACCTGGTTGCTATGGAAACATCAGTCTCTGGTGGATGGAAAGCAGCACTTTAGACAGGAAGTATCACAGGCTACCATGGTAACACCAAAAACAGTAGACATGAATCCTTTCTCCTGGAGGAGAATGGATGAAGCCGCTGGAGAAACTAAGCAGGAAGGGGGTTTGGAAAGCTGGGCTCTGACTGAGAGGGATTGAATGTAACAGACATGTCTTATGTGCAAGGCAAAAGGCAGAATGAGAGAGACTTGTATGGCCTCACCAGACCACAGCCGTCTAGGAAAAGAGTTTGCAAAGAACAGTAAATGCAGAATGAGCTAGATGCTCATGCCTGTGATCCCCACACTTGGTAGGCTGAGGCAAGGTAACTGCTGCAATTTTGAGCCCAGCCTGGGTAGAGAGATGGCTCAGTGGTTAAAAGCACTGACTGCTCTTGTAGAGGACCCGGGTTCGATTCCCAGCACCCACATGGCAGTTACGAACCGTCCTTAACTCCAGTTCCAGGGGAATCCGAAGCCCTCTTCTGACCTCCATGGCATTGCACGACACGGTGCACTCACATACATGCAGGCAATACACTCATACACATAAAATATTTTAAAAAATAAACAGCCAGTGAAATGGTAGTTAATGGTTGCTGGGGAAGGGAGAGATGTTTTCTTCAGTGGTATAGCCACGGGCAAATTGCCCTGGCATCTGTAAATAACCCCTCACCCACGCTCCTTTAAGTAACTTTAATATAAAAAAAATTAATTTAAAAAAAAAAAAAAAAAAAAAAAAAAGAACAAAACCTGCTGTGCTACCAAAAACCAAACAAAACCAAACAAAAACCACAGAATGAGACCCACAATAGGACAATGCTAGAAAGGCATATTACTATATTAACTCCAAAGAGGAAGAGGAAGCTTTAGGTTCTCACAGGACAGGACTTTGACCAGCAGAGGAAAGATGAGCAAAAACAGGAAGCAGGGCAGGGCCCAGGGCTCAGTGCAGGGTGCTCACTTCCAGAGGACTCTGAAGTCAGGCTGTTCAGAGTAGAATCTCAAATTTGCTAACAGATTATATGGTAATTT